CACACACACACACACACACACACACACACACACACACACACAAATTATACAAGGCCTAAGGTTCAAGAAGCCAAAATGCAATTCAGCCTTTGCTCAGCTACTGTGAAAGAGAGAAGGTGCGACAGAAATCATAGGGAAATGTTAGAACGGGCTTATCTTACTGTCTAATAGGTAACTTTTATGCATATGTCTTCTCATCTGTCACTGCACTCCATTTAAAAAAGGATAAATGATACAAGGTCTTTATTTTAATTTGCTGGGTTTATCAAGCCAATGAGGTCAGAATGCAGTTCGGTTTCTGCTCAGTTCTGATACTGGGAACACATAGCAGAAATGAAATAGGGAAATGTTAGCATGTGCTTATCTTGCTAACAGATAACTTTCATGTTTATGCATGCCTATGCAGATGAGAAGGAAAAAGAAGTAATTATCGTACATATATGCTGTATGGTGAACATTTTGACCTTAAAAGATCAAATATTCAACATTAAAATAATGTTTAAAAGTGAATACAAACATCTGTTTTAATTAAAGCACAGTTCAATTATAGACTAAGCTTGCACCAGCTATCAGTGTTTAAGTTATGTATTAAGAATGTCTATAAAACACAGACAAGTAAAAGTAATATTAATAGTAATACAGAGCAAGAAAAATGACCTTGACAAAACCACGGGGCAGCTAAAAACAGGAAGGTTTCTGGAAATGATTTTAAATAATCATTTGTTGGAAAGTATACAGAGTTTAAAGGATGACATGAAGTCTTGAAGCCTTGAGATGATTATTCCCATTGTTACCATCTTGGCTGTTTTGCTAAAATGGTTGGAGGGGAGAAGAATTTGAGGGGAATTTACACTAAGCAAAGTTGATCTGAGCACCCACTGTCCTCCAGTGATAACACTTAGGTACTTCAATAATCCACATTCTGCAAAAACCTTTCACTACTACTTCCAATAAAGAAAAAGAGACAACTATTATTACACTGTTATAACAAAATGTGATACAGAAAATAATCACATATGACTCGCCTGAGTTTTTTGTAAAAGTGGCAATTTGTTCTCACGTCATTCAAAAAGCAATCAGTATAACTAAGTAAATAAATATCCTACTCTTCTTGGGTAAATGCAATAATATCAGAGTATTTCACCAGTAAGTAGTAGCTTCAAAAGTAGAAGTCAACAACATTGCTCAGCATTTCTTAATAAATAGCAGTAATCAACTCACCTGATATTTAAAATATTTAAGTTTCCTTTTCAACGGTTTAAAGGTTCAAAACAGTTAAAACTGTACCCTATCCAGTTTCTCAGAAACAAAATCTGCTGTAAACCAAAAGAAGTTTACTTAAAAAAAAAAAGATAATTTTTCAAAAAGAATTATTGAATCCCATTTATTATGTATATGTACCACCAGCAGCTGGAGTCATTTTATTGAAAGCTTTCTCCACATTCTGAGACTACACTGAAGTAAACTGCAAAGTTGCCATCAAAATGACATCAAACCACTTTTAGTGTTTTCTATTCCAAGCGTTGATTGATATTGCATTAATAATTATAATTATCAATTGTAGTTGAGGAAGTATTAGAAATACAGCAGTGAGGTGAGTGTTTAATGGTTGTAGTGGTTATTAATGGTTATGTCCCGACAGTCCCACAATTTTCTTGCCATTTTCACATTCATTAAAATGAATGACTGTTTCATTTCATGTCTGTTTTGTGTTAATTTCTTATATAAATCTGTGCACAATGTTGTGTAGATATTTTTCTCCAAAAATAAATCCTAATAAATAATAATAATTCCAAAATCCTGCTTTGAAAAACATTAATTAAGGATTAACAGTTCATGTATAGACTAGTAGATAGATTAGTTATATGTGAAAAATTAATCTATGGTATAAACACTTCTCATAACTTAAAGTGGACCCAAAACTATGAAGGTATGAAATATGACTTGTATGTAAAAGGTCAAATCACAGAGCGGGGCAGTGCCTGTGTTTCACTGGGAAAGGATGAAAGACATTGTAAAACAAGTATAAGGAGCCACCAGAGTCATGTTTTTTTTCATAGTAGAACATGCTTTATTGATGCTTTTGCAGGAAAGAATTGAAAAGTAAAAAGTCTTGGAAAATACAAATAGTGACTAGTGAAGCATTTAAAGGCACATTAAAGGAAACTTGATGATAGTTTACTGTATATGATTCTTGCAAGCAAAAAACTACAAATCCAAACCAAAAAATCCCTTGGACTACTTTAAAACTGCACAGTTCCATAACAGGATGTTCAGTCATCTGTGTGCAGAGCTAAAAATCTGCTGCCAGACAAACAGAAAAATAAAACAAGAATTTCAATTCAGCAATTCAAGGGTGGATGTCATTTTACTTGATCTCAATGCTTCTGATGACAGCATCCCCATGAAAGCCCATGACAGAGTATTTCTCTGCACCCATGCGATTGGGGAAACAGAACGTTGAGCCATTTGATAAAGTCACCACAAACTCTGAGCAAGTGAACTGAATGGAGATCTAAAAAGGCATTTTGAGTGAGAGAAACAGAGAGACAAAGGATGTGAACACTGTAATATAGCTCAGAAAAAGGTCAAATAATGACGTTTTTAATGTAATCAAAGATACCGTGACACACATTTTCCAACAGAGATTGCATGAAAGAACAAGGCTACGATACGGACAAACACACTCTCACACCTTGAATTCCTTTCCCGGGCTGAAAGGAAAGCTTTTCTCATATTGCTCCTGATGCCAATTGCCTCCCTCAAAAGAGTTGCAGACAATTATATTTATGTGTCTGTTGTCATCAAAACAAGGGTTGAAATGAAATGCAATTCTGTCCTCGCTCTCACCAATATCCACAACAAACCTGCAATGAGAGAAAGCTATTACATTACATTATACAGTATTTAGGATCAGAAAATATGGGACTAAAATGGACTGACATAGAGATACAAAATTATCGGCACAGATTTGCAAATAATTTTGCTACAATAATTGCCCCAAGATAGTAAATCTTAATAAAATGGTGACAGAGTGTGATTACCTACCTTTCAGGGAAAGTTCACCCCCAAATAAAAATTCTCATATTTGCACATTTTATATCAGTACCTTTCAAACTTCAGTTACCTTAACCTCCTAAGACCCAAACTCTTTCATGGCATGCATTTTTAATTTCTCTTTTCTATTTGGGCTGATTGGGACCTGATGAATGAAAAAAAATTTCCTGATTTTTCTTTTTTTTTTTTTTTACCTAAGTTTTGTTTCTGAGAAAAATTAGGCCCACATGAGAGGACATTTTCTTTAAATTCAATAGAACAGTGGCACAGTATAATGTCCTCGTAAGTGGATATCGGGCCCTTGTAGAGCAAAATTTAATTTAATCACCCAAAATGTGATGTCCACGTATGTGGACAAAAGATCCTAGGAGGTTAAAGAGATACTTTACAAAATCTAATTTTCTAATTTTTCCTCTTACCTGGAGATTTAGTTATCATTTTTGTGCAACTTTTCTCTGTATAATAAGATGTATATTTGTGGAACTTTGATTGAAAGTACAATTACTCTTGTTACTCCAAAAAAGTCTCCAAAAGCTTTTTATTATAAATTTATTTTATTTTTCAACTTTACTATGACTCACTCACTAATTTAAAAATCCTAATACATCTTATCCTTAATCAGTATTTACCTTTTGGGATCAGATTTGATGACTCCAACAACAGTCAGGGTTTGTTCGACCTTGAAGGTCATGTTCTTTATTATCATATCCTGTACAGATAAAGACAGGGATTTTTGGTGATACTGCACTGGACAGTGCTGTTTACTGGCTGGAGCTGAAATAATAAATGACTCCAAAAAGAGTCAATAACATTACAAAATAGTGATGCACCCATAATAAATAATGCCCTGCATCAACTGTCTGAGAAGACAAAATAACAATTAAGAAATGATTAATGCACACATATGCTCTGTGATGAATATTTCAATGATAAAAGGCCATCAAATAAATCCAAAATGTCAGAATTATTAAAAAACAACAAACCTAAAAGCATACTGCTTATACTTTAGTTTAAGCATAACTCTGCTGATTTAGTTACATCAACCGGGGATAGACGCCACTTCACAAATTACAGGCCTGTTTCTTTACTACCACAATTCTCCAAAATCCTAGAAAACCTGTTTAATAAACGATTAGACAAATTCTTAGATAAATATAAATTACTCTCTGACAGTCAATATGGATTCAGATCAAAAAGATCAACATCTCTGGCATTAATCGAATCAATTGAGGAGATTACGAATGCTATAGATCAGAAACAGTATGCAGCTGGAGTATTTCTGGATCTCAAGAAAGCATTCGACACAATCAATCATGACATATTAATTAATAAATTGGAACGGTACGGGATCAGGGGGGTTGTACTGCAATGGGTGAAAAATTATTTAAGTGACAGGAAACAATTTGTGAAGCTGGGTGTCCATTCCTCATCATGCTTGGACATTGCTTGTGGTGTTCCACAGGGCTCTGTACTGGGTCCAAAATTATTTATTATTTATATAAATGATATTTGTAAGGCATCTGATATATTAAAATTGGTATTATTTGCAGATGACACAAATATTTTTTGTTCTGGAGGGAATCTAAAGGAGCTGCTGGATACAATTACTTCAGAAATGTGCAAAATTAAAAAATGGTTTAACAGGAACAAACTATCGCTAAATCTAAGTAAAACTAAAATTATCTTATTTGGGAATTCCCTTAGAAATGCACAAGTGCAGATTCATGTAGATGGTGTGGAAATTGAAAGAGTACTTGAACATAAGTTTCTTGGTGTGATTATAGATGATAAATTAAACTGGAAGTCTCATATAAATCATATACATAACAAAATTTCAAGAAGTGTCTCAATCTTGAGTAAAGTAAAACACATTCTGGACCACAAAGCACTCCACATTCTCTATTGTTCCCTGATTGCACCGTATTTGAATTACTGTGCAGAGGTTTGGGGCAATACTTACAAATGTTCGCTATCATCAATCTTTATATTACAAAAAAGGGCCTTAAGGATAATCCATAAAACTGGTTACAGAGATCATACAAATCCACTATTCTTAAAATCAAAAATTCTAAAATTCACATCTGTATCCAAAGGGCCAGTGTTAAAGATGATTGAACATCGCGCCTCTACACTAAGGAACTACGCGAGAAATCACTCTAGTCGGCTGACAAATCTCACATTATTGTCTAATAAATAATAAATCTCTCGCAAATATCAATTCTATAAATCTCTACATGTTACTTTGAGTTTCAATAATGTGATCCATCCCTCTAACTCCGCATACTAACATTTATGAGTATTAATACTATGATATTGGAAAGCTAGACACAATGAAGATATAACTCTTTGTTATTCACTTTACGAGAAATTATTTCACACTGAGAGAAATTGATGTTTCTATACATCAAATGAAAAAGCTAACCCAGGCACTATAAGTGCCATCTAAATTGCTGTGAGGCACGTGAGTACAATGTAAATCAGCACAACGTATTGAACAAATCATCTCTTTGGCCGATAATACACCGTGGGTTTCCTCGGCATGAAATAGACTTAAGCCATATTCTATAAACAACGCTCTCTATGGTTCACAAATTGCGATGTTTGTGTTAGGATAGTTGAAGTCATGATACTGAGTAATTACAGACATATAGAGTAAAGATAATTATGAAAGCAAGGCCACATATGTACCCATAAGTGAAGTTTGAAGAGAAAGTTGTATGAGATCAAGGAGAAAGTATTTAAAGGAATAATAAGTGGGTATATAGGTCAACACGCAGCAGCATTGCGTCTTTTGCAGCGATAATTAGGTAGCAGGGATATTACGAGGTGATTCAGGAACATTAGTTGAAAATGAGGTTGTTCCTTGGGTCTTAATTAAATTATCTATTAGGATAGGGTTGTCGGCAGCATATTGCCTATACGTGGGCGCTAACTGTATGTTTGCGACTTGGTAGGAATATAATAAATATAATTAAAATTCTTTTGTGTAGCGTTTGGTAACTCGGTCAGAAAAGGGTTTGAAAAAAATGCACATGTACATTTAATAATCTCGCTGCCAGTATTTTGTTTTATACGTATGTATGGCCGTGTGACTAGGATGGGTCGATAGTTATTTTTGTTTATATGATTACTCTATATAGTGTGTTGATATATGTATATATACAAAATATAATTTTTACTTTTGATCACCAACAATAGCATATTATGGATATACACCTGGTGGTGAATATGTTGTTTAAAATGAGATAGGTTAGAATTTTATTATTAAATGAGATCTATTAGATAATGATTGTATCCCTGATGATGTAGTTAGAAATTGGATTAATGCTTAGAGATAGTCAACAATAAAGTTATTATGCTTACTTCCTGTCTATACAACCTCTACTTTTAACTGGCTTTTGAACTCTTCATAATGTAGTTACATCTTATCTATCAGTACTTCTCAGTTGTTGATTGCTCCCAGATGTCCTCATCCTTATTTCGTGGGTTGTTTATTCTTTGTTTCATTCTTTGTTCTCTCCTTTAGACTATTTACTTATTTATATTCACTCGTTGTATTTGTACCTTCTTCACTTCCTCACACTGTTCTGTACTATATGAGAGAGGATATTCTCTAGCTCATAGACGTTAGCACTTAAGTTGCATATCACGACAATGCACCTGGAAAAGGATAACGTCTTACTAGTAAGCATGTTGGCCTCTTTATTTGCTTCCTCCTGCACTTCTTCTGTTACCACTTGTGCTCTCAGATGAGTCTGGTTATATCTATTACCGACTTTTACTCTTCTCCTCTTAGCATTCATCAATTCGTTGGCATAGTACGTGATTAGTAGCGTTACTATACATGATATGAAGATAGAATTATGGAGAAGATAGTGGGCTCCTTGGGATGCACGGAGAACGTTATTACTGAACTGAGTGCATGGACTTCTCGCCTGTCTACGCACAGTGTAAAGAAAAACTCGTCGTCTAAGTCTTAGCTATGACTCAGCAGTGTGGGAGGAGGCTACGCTTGCAGTACGCATGTTCAACACAAGGCCTAAAATATGGTTACCTCCTGTAGCGCACATTGCTTTAAGAACCCCAATCTAAGCTTCTTTGACTCTCCCTCCTCTCGGCCAATATATTAGTGTCCCTCAAATACAAGACTCGGAAACACAGTTTGTGGAGTTAACAAATACTGTGGTAGTCGAAAGGATGATGAGCGAAGGATGAACTTGGTGAAAATCATATACTTAAGTCAGATGTATGCAAATCACCACTGTTCCCACATTGTAAAAGTACCTCGTATTTGTACTACTCTAATTACTGGGTTCATGTTTGTACCCTTTCTGACTTCTCAGATTTTTGTCCATCCACGAGCAACCCTCGCCCTTACAACTTGACAACAAGCCAGTGTGGATCACATAAGAGATCCTCAAAATGTGTGACATTTTCAAAACTATGAGATTGTGAAATCTCCCAATTCTTATTAATAAATGAATATAGATTTCACTTAAATTAGGATGCGCAGTAAAGGACAACCAGTAAACCCATTAAATCTAAAATATGTAGATTAAAACTTTAAAAATATATTTTCCTATCATTGGTGTTAAGAGGGAGGAAATTAGTTCAAAGTAGGGCTGGGCCAATAAAATACAATATTCCGTTTCTGCGGGTGCAAGTGATGCAATTCATCTTCGCCAAGAATGCATATATGTTGGTAGAAGGGTCGTAGTTAAGTTGTGTCATAAAATGATGGTCCACTCCCCATATCACGTCTCGCGCACCGAAGGTAGTAGAACTCTACTGGTAGCTGTGCACAAACTCGCATGCGCCGTGCCTTGTTTTCATAGCGGCACGGCCATAGCAGTGCAAAAAACGCTCTCTGTCTCGCAAGTTTGCTGCGACAGTAGTGGTCTGAAAATATCTCCTTT